CCGATCCCAGTGTGACAACCAAAAAGAAAGAGAAGACGATCCCGGATGACGATTCCCACATACAAGCACCGCCCCGCGCTCAAAAGGCCGAACAATGGGAAACAACCAACCAGGATGCCCAAAGCAGACAAGATTAAAACAAATCCTAAATGACAATCCTAGATGACAAGTCCCACACGCAAACACCGCCCCGGCAACTACAGGCCAAACGACGGGACAAGACCAACCAGGATGTCAAAACACACTTGCCTGCAAAACGATAACCAGATGACCAATCCCACATGAAGTACTGCTATCCCTCCCTAAGATAGACCAAATAACGGGACAAGGCCCGCAAAACGCAACATCCCAACAATAGGGAAGATTAAGGAGAAGAAGAAAAAAAATATACAACAGATTAAAAAAATATTATCTTCCATAAGAAAAGACAAAGCCTGCTAGTACAGGCCCGACGCTCGCCGCATCATCAGCAAAAGCAGAGAGCTAGCAACGTCGGAGATATATATGTATATATATCGTCAAAGAGAGCTGCCCGGTAAACCGTAGGCAGAGAGGGAGAAGGGGACAAGAAACGAAGGGCTGTGACAAACTGTTTCGTTGGAGTTTCAATCCCCTAACTGATTATTGTAAGTGATAATTCACCTTAACCCTGGTTGTGGTTAAGCATCAACGACTGCCTGACAACTGATACCTTGAGGTGGGCACCAACCAATGCCCTCAAGGTACCCGTGACGAAAATCAAAGCAGAATATCACTCACCCACACCAGATGGAAAGCTCTACAGACTGTCGGTTCACACCCGATCACAAGCCAGCAAAACACCCACGAAACAAAGAAAGGTCTGTCACAGCTGAAAAATATAAGGACAGAAATAGAGTGGTCAGGTACACGGATTATGTACACGGATTGTAATCTTACCGCAATTGTCTGCCTTTCAAGCAGAGGATCTGGGTTCGATCCACATTCCAGCGATCGTGACTTCGTGCAGTGACTGCGCTGCGATCGCTGCTGATGCAGTGGCGGTTGGGCAATCACAAAATGACACGTCAACACCCATCTTTTCCTATTGATGTTTGTTTGTCCTTTATTTCTGTGTTGGATGGACGACGGTACCTAGTCTACCTTTGTAGGTGTTTGATTTGTAGTATTATCTGAAAGTATGTTAGTCTGTTGTAGGCTTTGGTACCTTGGGAATTTTTTGACCTCCTGAACCGGTAAGGCTGTTCCACGGTGCGGGGAACCATGACGGACGGAACATAGGACAGAGATTTTATCATGAGTTGATGCCTTATAAAAAGTAATGACTGATGCGTCGTTAGGTCCTTTTCCGGGTCCAACGTATTGGAACACCGCGGCATCTCCGGAGATGACTGCGGATTGTTCCCTGCGGAGGTGTGGTACGGCGGAGGTGGGATTGTGGTACGACGTGCAGTTTTGGGTTGAAGTTTCGGTGGTCTTCCCCCTGAGGATGACAGCGTGGCGGCTGTCGAAACCGGTCGGGGTGCCATACCCGCCGGCGTATTGCTGTTTTTTACTTTTTACTTGTACGGTCTTTGCATTCGTATACCTCTGTGTACTTTGCTGAGATGAGTATGATACTGTGTGTTTTCCATAATACTTGTACGATCTTTGCATTCGTATACCTCTGTGTACTTTGCTGAGTTGAGTACGATATTGTGTGTTTTCCATATTATCTATTACCAATCATCTTCTCGCCGGATTGTGGATTTTTTATTTTTATTTTTATTTTTATTTTTATTTATTTAAACCACTGGTTCGGAAAATATTGGGCCTCCGACCTTTCAGGAGGCCGAAACGAAACGACGGCCGCCTATCAGATTTATCAACGGCAGCCATTGTTGGGCCCGGCCTCCTAAAAGTTCAGGAATAGGATAAAACTTGCCGAAACGAAACGGCAAAGGTGCTAGTGGCCTCTTTGCCGAGGCGGAAAAGAACTGCGCGCCAAGCTTTGCCTAAACACCAGAGGGACTTTTTTTCTCCCCTGTTGGGCCAGCCTTTTTGGTCTTGTAACACTGTTCAAAGGGAGAGTAGGGAATGATTCATTTTGGTGGTTGGAGTTCGCCTGTGAAAGGTAGTGGTGGTATAAACCACCAGTACGTTAACGTTTCCCTGCCGTTTTTTTTCACTGGACATCCATCCAGGCAAAACGGGCCTTGCATGTGATCCGTTTTGCCCACGCAACCCGTTTTGCCTGGATGAAGGCACCGTGAAACCGCACCCGGAAACTTGCTGCCCGACGCGGCAGTATGCAGGCTGCGTCTCTGAAGAAATGGCTGGGAAACGTAGTGGTGGTTTGACGACCATTGTCACTTCCAGTATTAGCAGGTGCTATTACTATGCTAGTAAGCAAAACCGGATATCCGGCACACCCATTTTATCCGGAAGTTTGAATCCGGATGAAATTTCCGGAGTAATTCCGGAGATGGGAAATCATGCCCTGCGCAAAATAGGGTTTTTTCCTAGGCTGCCAGCTGTCCGATCCGGAGACGTCTCCCCCGGATGGTCAAGGGGGAGTTGTCCGGGATCCCGGACAACAGCTTTTTGGCCAAAAAAAAAAAAAGGGGGGATCTCCTCACCACTCGGGGATGCCCCAAAAAAGTTTCAGGCCACTCTGAGCAAAAAAAAACAACAAAAAAAAATGATAAAAAGGGGGGGAGGGGTGAGGGTTAATTGAGGGCCCGCTGCTACACACAACGAGGAGGAAGAGGGAGAAGAAGAAGAGGAGGAGGCGGAGGAAGAGGAGCGGGAGAAGGAGGAGGAGAAGGAGGAAGAAGAAGAAGATGAGGAGGAATATGAGGAGGGGGCATAGGCGATGGAGGAAGAGGAAGAGGAGGAGGAGGAGGAGGAGGAGGAGAAGGAGGAGAAGGAGGAGGAGGAGGAGGAGGAGCGGGACAAGGAGGAGGAGGAGGAGGAAGAAGAAGAAGAGGAGGAATATGAGGAGGGGGCATAGGTGATGGAGGAAGAAGAGGAGGAGGAGGAGGAGGAGAAGGAGGAGGAGGAGGAGGAGGAGGAGGAGGAGGAGGAGAAGGAGAAGGGGGACCAGGCTGTGGAGGAGGAGGAATGGGCCGTGGCGATGGAGGACGATGAGGAGGAGGAAAAAGAAGAAGATCAGTAGGGGCAGGAGGAGGAGGAGGAGGTCGAGGTGGAGGAGGATGTCGTTTTTTTTTTCACCGCAATCTGAGGAGGAGAGTGGCGAGATAAACAGAAACTTCAAAAAAACGAAATAGAGACTTGGAGAGCATATTTTTTACACTTCCATCTTTAGTTTTTCTTTTTCTACTTATAAAAAATGGTGCAACAATTTATGGCCATATGCCTTCAGGACTTCGCGTCCTACTCCGCAGTCTCACAGAAGAAAGCAGGTATTACAAGCTGTTTGCATAGACTCTACCAAATGACCTCGGAGGTCGAACTGACGGGACTGGGACTTCTTACACTGAAACGACTCCTGCGACTGCAAGGATACCGAAGTATGTACTTCGACGAATGCCTGAAAAAATTCATCCGGAAAAGGGCGCCGTCCTGGGATAAATGGGGCAAGAAGTTCTGCGGCTGGTAGTTTACTTTTCTGCTTCCTGCAAAAGATCGTACTCCAGATCAACTGTATTCATTAATCTGTCGTGTAGTTAAAATCCTTCGAAGATTTCCGAGCTCGGACTGGATTTAAATCTTTGCTGTAGATATTCCCGCTTATCTGCTCGTAACTTCTCAAAAAACGTTTCTGTATTTGCTTTGCAGTAGGTCTGTGGGTTCTGTGCTGGAAATTTTTAAGACCTAGGCGAAATAATCCGTACCCGCCCATTTTCCGAATAGGACAAAGAAGTTTTTGTTTCGACTTCAGAACTTAGAAATTTCTCTGCTACGGGTGGAAATCCTTTGTAGATATACTGTGGATCGAATCAGACTCTGAGTGCAGAGTTACCACGCTCTTTCTAAATTTCTATATTTCTTCTCGGCATCTATGAGAGACTGCTCTATGATATTACCGGCTACGTACGGGACTTGGGTAAACTCGTTTTCTGGTAGTGCCTGGCCTGAAGACTGACCTTCAGGCGGGAAAATTACCGCGCCTGTTTTGAGAAATGTAACTTCGACATCTACGTGAAGCAGCAGCTAGAAGCGAGGGTAGAAACTTCGTAACTTACTGTTTAAGAGTTAGGGTCTACCTCTCTCTTACCTTGGAATGTCTCCCTCCTGATGAGGCTAGATCTGGCTCTAGCCGAAACCGGTCGAGGGCAGCCACACAGCCATCGCCAGGGAAGCCTGGCTATGGCCTTCTCTTGGAGCCTACTGTCTTTCATTTGAAGAGCTTCTCTTGTTTTTTCAGTCATATTTTCAAAAGAGTTTATTACTTCCGAGTTTTCACATACTTTGGCGTGTTGGTTAACAGCGTGCTTATGTGATGGTGATCTCAGCCTTGCTGACGATTAGCCTCGCTCTTCCCAATCTTCCCAATATGCCTTATCCGTAGAAGAATCCACAGAATTTTTGTTCTAAGAAAAATAAAAATATCTATATTTATATATTTTTATGTATGTTTGGACAGGGGGATCCGGTAGGACGTTTGGCCTGACGGTCAGGGGGGTCCCGGTCGTCAGATCATAGCATGGTCCCATTAGCAGTCGGATAGGAGTGTGGCAGATCCAGTGTGACACTGAGTGGCAGCGGCCTGACAGGTTCATAATGAATTTCTGGGCTGAGAAAACAGGAGAAAGGCAAAAAAAAAAAAAAAAAAACAGATACCTCCCACCGGAAATCACGGCAGAGTGCTTCCCAGCTATCAGATCACAAATGATCTGATGGTGGTGGTTGCAACAACAGTGAATAAAGTAACTGCCACATTTTCTGGAATAAACTCGACTTCTGTCAGCAATGATCATGACGCCCTCCATGTACTCCGTGATTGAAGGAGAGCTCCAACCAATGAGATAATTGATAGCAAGCAAAATACTGAAAATCTTCTATCCAGTGGGCTAATGGCCGATCCCACCCTCTTGTGGGGTTGGCCATACCCCCAACGGATTGAAAAGATTTTGGCAGCAGGCTTCCTTTGCACGGTCATGCCCAGTGTTAAGGAGAGGAGGAGGGGAACGAAGATCTCCTTACTTTCTTGGGTAATACATGTAAAATACTGACCGTGGGATCGCGAGTAGCATGGCACGATTCGGGTCACTCAACTGCCACACAAACTCTTTTCTATTCTATCCCATTGCTAGTGGGACCATGCTCCAGGTAACATAGTTTTTTTCCCTATAAAAAGAAAAAAAAAAAAAATCTGAACATGCTCCAGGTAACATAGTTTTTTTCCCTATAAAAAGAAAATTAAAAAAAATCTGAAAAAAAATATGTTGTATATACAAACAATACAAACAACTTTTGGCTTGATGTCATGTTTTTTTTTCCTTTTTTTTAAGAGCTGCCTTCTCCTCATCCGGGGACAACCATATATTTTTCTCTCACCTCACATATTTTTTAACTGGCGTTCTGCCATGTCATGGAACATATCTTTCTTTCACTACCTACCTATCCCTACTCCTAAGGGTATACAGGGGACCCCTGCAAGCATACCTTCTACCTCTCTTTGGTGAAGGAAGGTTACCTCTCGCGGTGGAGAGAGGTATATACTATATCCTAACCAAAATGAAGGTAAAAAATAAAGTAAACTAATTAACTAGGCTACCAGAGTGGCCTGGGACCACTTGCCCGGCTGGGCCAAAAAATATAAATGAATAATAAAAATAAAATTTTAATTTTAATTTTAAATTTCAAATTTGGTAAAGAATTTTGATGTGACCCTGAGGCAAAAGTTGTTCAGTTTATCTTTCTGCGTAACATAGTTTTGTTTCGGAGTTTTTGGATTTTTTTTGTTGTTTTTTTGTTTTTTTTGCTGGGACCTTCCTTGGTCCTTGCATGGCCGGGCCACCCAGGAAAACAGGGTGACCCAGGCGGACCAGCCGGTAGCCTTGCTAATTAAACAATTGATATAAAATAAATTGAGCAACTCCTGTGAGGAATGTGTCCGCATGGGGCCCTAGACAACATGCATATGTTCTGGACTGTGGCCCCAGCAAGCCTCGTGCCCGCCCTATGTGACGGCGGGCCGGGATATCCACGAGAGGCCCTTATCTCAGCATTTACCAATGTGGGTATCAGACAGTTGCTGCACGCCAGTTGGTTGAAGCGCAACCTGGGCCTCACTCTGGGCTCTTTCTAGAAGCAGCAGCTGCGTCAAGCAGTTGAGCCCAGGACGCAGGTGGTTGCGACCTGGGCACACGCAGTGTGAGGGAGACACATCACGAGGTGGCCGCAGGCCAATGAGAATGCAGCATTGTTGTCACACCTACCCCGCGGGCCAATGCAAACACAGCAAACACTTGGAGCCTGGAGTATCCCGGGTGTGCCCAACTGAAAAGGGCCCAGGCCCTTAACTGTAGAGATGGGCCTGGGCGCAGACGCTGGGGCCCAACCGGAAGCTACTGGAAACATGCTCGGCCAGGCCCAGAAGGTCCAGCAGCAGGGCAGGAACTCCCATATAGGGAGAAGGCCAGCCAGGGGAGGGCATTCTGGCCTAGGCAGGTAATGCGGACACGCTGCTGCATCAGAATGCAAGTGTCTGCATGCGCTATGCTGGCTGGGGCGCGAGCGGGCGCTAAGAGGTGTGGGGCGCTGAAGGGCAGTGGGGCGCCAAGCGGCCATAGCCGGGCTGCAGGGGTGCGGGCAGGCGATGAGGCGATAGTGGTCTTCAGGGAAGAAGGTGCAGGTGTGGGTGGACAAGGTCTGATGAGGGGATGCGAGAGAACGTACCTGGTGAATGTGGGAGGTCGGCATTGGTGTTGACATCATGTACATTGGTCTTCGTCGTCGAAGTGAGCCTGTTGCATGGATGTAGATAGGCTAGATAGGATGAGTAGAGTAGGCTGGACGCTGGGCGCCAGACAGTAGAAGCGACAGAATACTGCGTTGGTGTGGCCTGAGGGCTTGGACATTGGCTCACGAGTTCATTGTATAGCTCTTATTTGGATGGAATCTTGGCGCATTTGAGTTCTCTGCTTGTTACATGACTATCTGGACTTCTGGATGATTTTGCAACTTGGTTTTCTATTTATCGATCTCACTCATATTCCTTGCACTCCCCGCTAAACCCCGTAATTTCCTATCTATACCCCCTTTGAACCCTTTCATGATCAACCGAGCTTTCTATGAACTTGGAGAATAGTTCTGTTGTATTTAGTATGCGCAATATCACTCTTTTTCTTCTTTTTTTTTTTGACATTTTTTTGGGCTTTTTTTTAACTATCCAGATTTTTGGATAATCCCACCCCCAGATAATCCGACCAGATTATCCAGCCAGATTATCCGTGCTACTTAGCTATTAACTGATAGAAATTTTAATACCACTTTTTTTATCCTGCCGGAGGAGGAGATCCTGTTTTGTGTCAATATCTGTTTTGTTCTTTGGTCGGGATGGCCACCTTATATAGAGAGTGATCTCTGAAGAAAAGCGTTGCCGCTTGCTGGAACAACTACATGCTTATTCGTACTTGGTTCTTAAGTGCTTGCTCCGAACCAGTTAAAATTGTGTAAGCAGTGTTCCAATTCTAATTCACTGGATTGATGCTGAGGCTTTCTTTAACAAGAGCCTGTGCAATCAATTCTGCACTCTGGACATTCGGCTTACTGCAAATTCGTGAGACAAGACAAGAGCATGCCGGAAAAGGACAAGTGAGGGGATATTGCTAGCACAAGGTACCTAAGATGCTTGTTCGAGTTCACTATTGCTTTATGAGACAAACTTAGTTATGGTACATCGGAGCATCTTTTGGAATTCCTCATCGCCCCAGTTATAGCGTGCAATAGTACGCTGAGTTGCCTCTCACGGCGTGGTGGATGTGCTAACCTAGGATTTGAATTGAAAGAGACAGATTACCCAATTAATTGGGGACAGGAGGCGAACCGACATCGCATAACAGCACAGCCTTTAGGTGATACCTGTGAACTCACTGGCCCCATGTAATTCAGGGCTATTTTACTTGGTCAATTCAATCATGATTAGATCATTGATGGTTGTACTAATCAAATCGTGACTGTGACTTCTTGTCTGGCTCCAGGTAATTCAAGGCTATTTTACTTGGTCAATTCCATCAGGATTAGACCATTGATGGGTGTACTATTCAAATCGTGACTGTGACTTCTCGTCGATTTGTTTCCAAGAGGATCGATCGTTTCTAAGATAGTGGCAATCAGAGCAGGACTGTGGCTGGGACTTTTTCCCCATCGTTTCTAAGGGCCTAGCTCCACTGCACAACACTCTATGGTAGGACTGTGGCCGAGACCTCGTCCCCATTGTTTGTAAGGGCCTCACTCCCACTGCACAACACTCTAAACATATCTGGACCTGGTAATGGTCCCGGTGTCCTTGTTTCTTGTCATTACGGCCAGAGACACACAATACATGGAAGAGGGAAGTCAGTACCTGAGGCGAGTGCCACCTGCAGGGAAAAGCGACACAGGCGGTCAATACAGATAGTGAAGATCAATGACCAATA